ATATTTTGACAGAAAATTCCTATATTTTCCTATATTTTGAACTTGAACAGCCTATTTATCCTATAGAATTTTCCAAAAAGCGGCTTGGTGCCTGCTTGTCTCATAAACGCCTGATGCGCTTTTACGTTTGTATTAGACGCCTCTCTGTAATAAACGCCCCGCATGACAGTCGTTCCAGTAGTGAAAGAGTGGAATAGTGAAATACCGGTAGATCGAAATCAGTCAATTGATTCATTGTCTTGTTTCATTAACACGAGTTTGCGCATTGCATTTTGTGTAATGTCAAGTTCAAAGTAAGGATTCTGACATGGAAGTTCAGCTTTATAAAACGAAATGGATCTCTACATGGCTTAGAAATATTAATGAGTGGACTGGATAGTTTGCTATTTATATACTGTGCTGACGTATTGGCTGAAAGCATATTGGGTTCGTGGAGTTTGTTACCGTTATAAATGAAAATGAATGCCTCTCTCTTTTAAACGCCTATTATCTATTAAACGTCACCGCTCTAGTAGACTACGAGCAGTCTCTATTTTTCCTTGTTCCGTCAAGCAAAACGCGCGAGACACGCTACTAACCACGCGCGTGACTGAAGTCACGAGAAGGGAGAGGCGCCCTCGCTTCTCTCATCTCGCGGCTTCCGCGCGCGGGCACTCCCCTGCTTAAATCTAACGGAAAAGAGAGACTGTCGCAGTCTACCGCTATAGGTAGTCTCTTTCCTAGCCGCTCGGTCACAGTCACGCAATGCTCCCCGCGTTCGTGCCCCGGCCCGAGTGGCTGCGAAGGCCGGAGACTACTGCTTGGAATCGAAACATTAAATAGACGCACGGGGCGTCTATTAGATCATTAACGATATACAGCTTTGTTTTGTTCACTCGTGAATATTATCGTTGAGTGCACAGTTCATAGTTGAAAGATTTCTTCATGACATTTTTTTCTCCCTGCTCTTTTCAAACAGGGCAGTTAACAAACGATTCAGCCGCTTAGAGTCTCATGTAGTAACCTTAGCCAGAAGTGTGGCGCATTTGTCTTCAGAATTACGCTCCCAAGCCTCAATAAGCCAAGATATGGATGACATGAGAAGACAAGTGAATGCTCAACAATACAAGCCTGAGGAAGACAGTGATCCTGCTAAGGAAAGTGCTATGCTTCAGTCACGCGTTAAGAAACTCAGAAGGTGCGTCTTAACCATCGAATTGCAAAATTCGCATTCGATCTTAGGTTCCTACGAGGACGTTGTTTTGGGATGTCACGCATTTTGCTCAAGAGGTGTCGTTGCGTGACCAGCCGAAAGAACGTTTAAGCTAGGTGTGTGTAACGAATATTTTGATTATTCATCACATGATATGTCTTCGGGGGGAGAAATAGTCTGCGAGCAAGCTCACCAATTTGTGCTAGCGAAATGAGCCTCGCGAGAACGCGCGAGCGAGGGGCCCTCCTCTGCCCGTCGCGGCTTCGCCGCTCGCTCGCGCGTTCTCGCGAGACTCGCTTCACTCTCCCAAATAGGAGAGCTTGCTCGCAAGCTAACAACAACAACTGAAAAATTAAATAAAAATAAAGACGAAGGTTAGTAACAACCATTTTGTGGCCAGTCGCCCAAATGAGGGTTCAACGCTCATCCAAACTTTGGCAAAATAGGTTACCCAGATAAGTTGAATACAGGTTTGACCTGTGCACGCATATCCTACCACCGATGTTCTTTTTAGTGCCAATTCCATGTAAAGAACCTACACGCTACAAGTTTTAATGAAGTTGTGAAAGAAGTACATAAAACTGCTATTGATTGGTTGATTTTTTCATTCAATGCAGTTTTTTTGGCGAGGACCCTCCACTCCTGGCAATCTTCCTGAAGAAGCTTGGATATGAGGTAACATAATTTACGAACATTCCTTTTATGTAACGCGTTCGTAGTTAACGAGGAAGGTTTTTATTGCATTCGCCGTTCATGCAACAGTGTCTGTTACTCGTCTGCAACTTTTACTCTAAACTTGTCCATTCTTTTTTACCTTTAGTAATCATAAAGATTTAGTGATTTTGGTCCAAGAACATCGAATTGCAAATTCAGACCTTTTAATCATAGTTAACGACAAATTGTCAAATTATTTAGCAATTAATGAAGGAGGCTGAGTAGGATATATAACAATTGTTCACCTCAGTGTCGGTGGCTAGTGGTGGTATATATATAGGCCGCGAAGCGCCGAGGTAATTATCCACCACTAGCCACCGACACTGAGGTGAATAATTGTTTTAGTACATACTAAAACAGTGAGATAATTTAGCACCAAAATGATGATTTTAACTCATTTACTGTTGCCAACGATTACAATTTTGGCGCGCAATGACCGAACGGCTGCGTCTTCGCTTTTTCTTGCCGACAAACAAAACGTTTGAAGGCATTTGTTTAGCTCTTTCGGGGAAATTTCTTCAAAAGGAGTTGTGAATTCTTTTGGTATTTAAAATCATTCAATAAAAAGACCCTCCCAACGTCATCCTCATCCTTTGGCATTTTAAGGGCCCCCATATTCCATCCAAAAAAAATTAAAGGCCCCTCAATTTCTCCTCCACCCCCCCTTCAACTTAAATTATGACTGTTCCCTTAAAAGGGCTGTTCAGGTCTGCAAATATACTCTAAAAAGCAGGTATTATCCATCGAGTTGTCTTCTTGCTATGTTTTTTTCGACAATAGTTCATTGTGAAACGAGTAAAATGTTCCGCCGACTGTTCGGCCATCTATTTTTCTTTTCTTAAGCAAAACAACTCAACCTCGTCCCCAGGTCGTCTCGGTTAACGATGCATCAACCTGCAACTGTGTTGCACTTTTGACGTCATCGGTTGTTTAATCGCAAAATTCTTCCAAATTTGGTCAACAGTATCTGGTTATGGTGAATTATGCGTGTGCTTTTAGCCAATCAGAAACGGAGAAATATCTTGAATTAATAGTAATGTCAATTATTTCTAGTGACCCTTTGTGGATTAACAGTTACATGGTACAAAACCACTTTGCCTGGAGAGTAGGAGAATCATGGGGGAAAGAAAATGAAGAAATTACGTTACTGAGAAGCTTAATTTCCCCTCTTGCCAATGTTCCACTGTTCGCCAGCGAGGAGTTTTAATTCCATGTGACTGTTTAACGATAAGGGCCTATTTATGTTGTTTTTTTCTGTCGCGACTGTTTGATGAGTATTTGAATTGGTTTTCTCATTATTAAAGATAGATTTTTCGTTCTTTTTTTTTTTGGTAACAGAGATTTGCGGATAATTTCGAGGCAGAGCAAGTTGGTATATTAGAAATGTCCTACATGACGGAAGAACGACTGCAGAGTTTAGGAATTCCACTGGGGCCGAGATTAAGAATTATGGAGGAAGTCAAGAAATTATCTTCCCATTTAGCCAGTGTATAGCCTGTCTCGAGATTATATCTCTATTTTTGGAAGAGCAAGATATGCCCATCCTGTCCTCTCGTAAACGCTGTCTATTCACTCAGACTAAGAAGACTAAGAAGATTTTGTTTAGTTTGTTTCTAAATGAAATGTGTGCAGTAGCAAGATTTTATAAATATCGTGATTTTTTTTACACAGTTGAACCTCTCCACAACAGCCACCTTGGGGACAGGAGAAAGTGGCCATTGTAGAGAGCTTTAAACAAGAGCCAATGTATGAACTGTCCGCCAAAAAAATGGCCGTTGTAGAGAGGTAACCGTTAGTGTAGGTTCGACTGTAGTTGCTTTGAACAAAACCTCAGTCTAGGTTTCCAGATTAAAGACCAGATCGCGTTACCGTTTTCATTTGGCAAAGTTTTCGACATGCTTTTGAGGTTCCGAGAAAACGCATAGCCAATCAAAATTCAAGATGTTTTGAAGGCGGAGTCGTGCAGTTGAAAGGTTTTATTTCCGGATGATACGAGAAACGGGGAATGGGAAAATGAAAAATGGGAACTAAACTGAGAATGGCTAAGAAAGTCACTGATAGGTTTTCATTTTTTTATTTCTCCTTTCTCCGACTCTGTTTAAGTAACACAATTTTATCCCTTTCCTTTGAAGCTGCACTATTCCGCCTCCAAACGAACAGAGTTTTTTCTTAGTTGTGTATTATATGGAACCCTTGAAAGTTCTAAAAATGATGGGAAACGTGACAAGATTTCAGACTTGTTAGTACATTAGTTTGTAAAAACGGAAGTCAAACTTAGACTGTTCATAGTGCAACTTGTAAAATTAATGTGCACTTTAAAGGTTGTCTTTTGTTTATGAAGTATTTATAATTGGCTAGTTTTGCTCTAAGTTTTGGGAAGGCCAGCTGAATATTCTGTAAAATAGTGTACTGAAGTCATTTGAATATGAAAATTGGAGTATTAACTTAGGGAACCCCCGGAAAACTGATATTTTTTACAAGAACATAGATACATTAAGAAACTAAACACGACGAGCAAGCCGCAGAATTATTGCTTCTGGAAATTCCGTTGGTAAACGGGAAATCAGAAAGATCTGTTTTAGCCCCTAAAAATGGGGCCGCTTCGATGAGTGCTGTTTTAATCAGGGCCAATACAGTCCAATCACCTTGTGCTGATTTGGACCCAAGGGCTGAAATGAGTTTGCTTCGCAGATTGGGGTGAAACAGATCCTTTTAATTTTCAGTCTACTAATGTGATAAAGCAAAATATTTAAAACGAAGAAAATGGAAGGTACTCCCTACTGCATAAATTTTCTGTCGAAACAACTGTTCCATTTGAATTTTCATAAAAAAAAACCTTTTCTCGTAACCTGAAGTAAAAACGACTCGACGTAATCGTCTAAAAATTCATTAGGCTACCTTTTCTCGTAGAAAGGGAACGCGCTCCATTGAAGTCGCTAAGCGTTCGCTGTAGGTGGCTAGAAATAAGTTTGTAAATAGTTTTCAGATGATAGTGCGGATGCGTACTTAAGTAAGTCCTTACTTATAGGAATTAACTATTTAATAATTGAGATTTATTACGCTGTTTACTGGTTAGATATATGCATGTTACGACAAAACAAACAAAAAAATATGTCTTTTATATATTTTTTGAAATAGTACAAAACTTCGAATGAGCGTCATAAGCCTTTATTTTCATAATTATCCATTTTATGGTTATATTTGATAGCGACCTGTCTTGGAACAGAAATTATTTTAATGTACAGTTACGGAATACAGACTGAGTATTTTTATTACACTTCTCATTGTCTCTCTGATATCTCGGGTCCCATTGAAAGAAACCACAAACCACTTACGTATGCTTCGTAAAATCGGCATCTGTGAGTTCTTTTAGGCCTTTCAACAGACCAAAATAACAGGTTTCCCTAAACTTTCGTATACTTCCTCTAGTAAAATCCCTACCCTTTCATATACCTAATGCCTGAAAATGTACCCCTCTCGGGTGGAGCCTCCCTTTGATTGCCCATTATAGGAAGCCCCCCACCCCTGGATTCAATCCCAAGGTCACGTTTGAAATCGTTCGACACTTGAACAAATATCTAACTGGTTCTCAAAAAAAATTGGGGGTTAATTTCAAACTGCCGCGTAAATATCTAGTATTTTGAGAATGGCTTGGCGGGTTTTCGGCATCTGGGTTTCTTCTCATGTATCTCTTATGTACGTTTATTTTATAGCCAACACAGTGCTTCATTTTCTGAGATAGTTGCATTATATTCCCTCGTTTTTTGTTCTATGAGTACGCGGCAAGTCAGATGAAAAATTTTTTCATATGCATTGACTTTATTTAAACAATTTAATTTACCACCTTTTTTGGTTTCCGTAGTGTAGTGGTTATCACGTCCGCCTAACACGGCTGAATCATAAAACAGTTCATTTCTCGAACTCTCTGTGAATATTTCCAACCTAGTCCCCAGGGCGCTTTTCCCTGGCTTTGTAGTCGGCCAAAGCCAGGGAAAAGCGCCCTGGCGACGAGGTTGTGACTTTTTCTTTTGGTCAAGTTTATTTCTGATTGGATACTCTTGTTACATCTAAAACAGTTTGGTAGAATTTATAGTTGCATCATCTCTAGGAATATTTCCATCAATTATACCCCCACTGAGAATATCTCTATAAATTATACCCGACTGATTAAATTCAGTGGTACTACAAAGATTAAACTTCCAACTCAGAAGATATCTCTACCCTTGTGGTTACATCATTAAGAATATCTCTATCAAGCAAGCATACCCAACCCGACTGCTCCAAGTCAGTGGTATAAAGACTAAACTCTCAATACTGAGAAATTCTGTGGTTGCATCACTAAGAATATCTCTTGTTCTCTAATCACTCTGCATTGAAACGAGAACAAATCATTTTCACTCTAGAAACGCTGACAAGAATCAGGAATAGGCATCTCGTTTATTGATAGCTAGAACACGGGCAAAATACATGAATAAACATACTACAAACTACAGCTAACGAAGACGTAAGCTAACAATAATGTCAATAATGTACAATCTGGTAATAACCTTTCTGAAAGATTAAATATAATAACAAAAAAGATAACAAATACAAGAAAATTTTCAGAACGGTAGCAAGAGATGCCGTCAAGTGACCTTGAATCTGCAAAGAACACCTTATATACCTGATAACAAATAATCACGCACACTGTCAAAATAACTCACGCGACAAATACCAACACATCCGTATGCAAAGCACTGAAGCAACGTGCATTCCTTAACGCGAGAAAATACATTTCTTAATTCATTGGTATTACAAAAACTGCATTTTAAGGTTCTTATTGGGATTTCTTAGCACCTGCTTGTTCCAGAAAGTGACCGCTTGGAACTTCTTGGCTGTTTGGCTATTTCTTTGTTAAATGGTCCGTGAGACGATTCCCTCTTGCGGTTCTAAATGTGCATTCCAGGCAAAACAGAGCATATACGTGTACAGCTTGTTCCAACCGTAGAATGATGATTTTCACCCTTGCTCTTGGCATACTACGACCTTTCAGCTGCCCGTTCGATTCTCCAAATCTCTGCCTACGCGAATGTAAAGTGGTGTCCTGGTGAAGACTCATTTCTGTTCCTGATAACGAATGGACGGAAATCGCAGTTGTGATAAGGGTACTTAACTGTGCCTTCTATCGGTAAAGCAAAATCAAGAGGCAAAAACACCATCAGTAACAAGTCATTTTTGGACAGGACTGCTTTGGCTCTTTGTAAAAGGTCTGTAATATAAAAGGGCTCTTTAAACACCTGCAAAAAAACAAAAAAACTTTCAAGTATCGACTTGCGCCTAAAGTTTCACAGCTTTTCACCAGTATGATAATCATCATTATTATTCATTCAAAATATTTCCCCGATTCTGATTGACGAAAAGCACACGCATAATTCACCATAACCAGTTACTGATGACCAATTTTGCGTTATATGAGCCGATGACGCCAAAAGTGCAGCCTTCTTACAGGTTAATGCACCGTTAACCGCGAAGACCTGGGGACGAGGTTGAGTAAGAGTAAGAACTAGGCGAAATAATAGCTAAAAACATGGCAGGAACAGCAAGAAGACAACTCGAAGGGCGACATCTGCTATTTGGAGAATATTTGCGGAGCTGAACAACCCTAAACGTGCACTATCGAAGATGAACTTAACATCGACGGAGGAAAGCATGGTTTAGCTATGTTATTAAATAAGGAATTATTTTGACTGAATAATAAAACAATTATTGAATTCGGCTTTCGTATCATATGAAGAATTATGGAGATCTCGGAGGGTTTTAATCCGCCTAGGGCTACGGCCTTGACGGATAACACTCTCCTCGATCTCCATAATTCTTCATAAGATACTCTGCCTCATTCATTAATTGTTACCATTATTCATTCATTCAAAATATTTCTCCAATTCTTATTGGTTAAAAGCACACGCATAATTTACCATAACCACTTACTTATGACCAAAATTGAAAAATGCAGCCTTCTATAGGTTACTTCTACAGGTTAATGCACCGTTAACCGAGAAGACCTGGGCACGAGGTTGAGTTGTTTTCGTTGTGAAAACTAAAATGGCGGACACTTCACTCGTTTCAAGAGTAAGAACTACAGCTGGAACTACGCGAAATAATGGCTAAAAACATAGCAAAAACAGCGAGAAGACAACTCGAAGGGTGACGTCTGCTATCTGGAGAATATTTGCGGAGCTGGACAAACCTAAATGTACACTATCGAAGATAAACTTAACATCGATGCAGGTAAGCATGTTTTAGCTATGTTTTTAAACTACGAATTCTTTTGAATGAATAATAAAGCAATAATTAATGAATTCGGCCTTCGTAGGATAAGAAGAATCAAGCAGATCTCGGAGGATGTTATCCACGTCGGCCTTCGGCCTCTGTGGATAACACCCTCCTCGATCAGCTTAATTCTTCATATCCTACTCAGCCTCATTCATTAATTGCTAAATTATATATCTTACTGAATTTATGTAAACATGATTTCAGTGAGTTTCTACAGGTCCTATGCTAAGTACGTCCTTGGTACCAAGACTTTGACCCTTCCCACCCAAGACAATGGATGACTGTCTGCGCCTCCCACTGAGCTCTTAAATTATCGTGATAATCGATCTCAACAGAGGCCTGATTCAGCTGGCTGGGGCAAAGTAAGAACAAGGTACTTTGCAGTCGAAGCCTCTAGTGCACATTACTACTTACTGAAGTGGTTGTCTCAGATTAGTCCCCACCCTACTCCACTAGTTCCCCCCCCCAGGCCTGATCCACCCACCCACTGTTAGGGTAGTCCCTGGGCTATCCAGCTGTATCGACCAAGACGGCAAGTCCCCTACTTTTTTGGACATAGCAAACTGTTAAGTTAAACGTGAAATGACAGAAAGGCTTCGGTTGCCCGTAAGCAAATTTCTAGCTGCTCCGTTTTTATTCACCAAATGCACCTGTCAAAATTTTGACCAATCTTGGTCGAGTTTATCATTTGTAGGCTGGAAAAGGGGGCGGTGACACGTTAACATGAAAAGAGACTCAAATTCTCCCAAGTTTACAATTAAACAAGCAATCATATGATTTTTGTAGTGCAATTAGGAATAAATTAGTACTCTTAAAATTTTCCAAGAGCCCACGCCACGCATATTTCATATTGTTTGCCACAATTTTAAGTGTGATATTTTTTAATTGTTCATAAAGTTGACAGAAAAAGTTTCAGTAAATTTGCAATTCCAGAAAATATCCAGAAACACACGGAGGGTACTTTTGCTTTATACTTCCCAACCCTTGGAATTTCCATTCTAATGGCGGCTCGAGATTTGTTAATTCTTCAGAAAGCTGACAGAAAAATTGTTCAAAACGTCTAGTTTCACAAAATATCCATATCTCCAAGGGTACCTTTGCTGTAAACATTCTCCTCCCATACACCTCCTGGAATCCCCGTAACTTTCCAGCTTGGTTGGGTACCCTCTGCAGAGAATGTTTGTGTCAAAAAATGTTGCACTATATTGGAATGAAAAGGAAAATTTTTTCTGTGCTAATTGAGAAAATGCATTCAGTTATGCTAACGCGGTGTCTAGGACGTTCTTATCTTATGGAGGCGACATCTTACACTACAACAACAAGTTTATTTGTACCCTACATTGCTTTACTTGATAGCGGAGCTCTCGCGAGCACGAAGCGCGCACTAGCGGAGCACCATGGGTAAGTAAATCTACCCATCCCAAAAAATTTGGTAATGACGTCACCGTAAACAGACCGAACGAACGATCGTCCGTTAGCACCAAGAAACCAATGTTTACTCTCACACTTTCTAGCTAGTTTGGGAGCCCAGGAGCAAACTGATTGCACATCAATGTTGTGATCAATTGACAGCTGTCAAAACAGGGTATCCACTGACCAGTATCACATGACCGCATCACAGGCTCGGGAATCGACCCATCGAGGTCGTGTATTTAATGATGTTATCCGCTGACAGGTGACTTGTTTTCAAATGATCGCAGGCTCAAGTAAATTTTTTAAAATTTATAAGAAATATGTTGTGTTTGTGTCACTATGGCTCCGCACTATTAAGATTTTGATGTC